TGTGTTAAAATATACAATTTGTTGGAACTAAGCTGGAAAAATAAATATGAAGGTCAATTATAAAACTTGAGGTAAAGTTCTTATTTATTTGGTGCATTTTAAATGTATTTATTTAGTGGTTCATTTATATGTTTCTGCCTTTAATTCTAATTATGTCAGTTTTGGTCCTCCGTACAGCAGAACTTGGAAGAGGTATTTCAGTGACTGAATCAGATGTGTTGGAGAAGGAAAAAATGTAAAACGTAGGACTGCGGCCCTCGAGGACCAGGATTGCCCACCCCTGCACTATAGGGTCATATATGGTATTTCAACATAGAACAGCTTGTCTCTAACGGGGAAGATAAGCTAAACATTGACAAATATGTTGAACTTATTACAGCAAAAGCGGAAAAACAATGGATGAAAAAAAAAATTGACCAAAAAATAAAAAAAGATAAGCAGCAGTTACCACACTAAGTAGTCTTGTAGCAGCAACAATTTTGAAAAAGGTTAAATTTTTTTACAAAAACATTTTTATGGCCCTAAGATAAAACGTAAAATTTAACAAACATAATGAAATCCAGAACAAACCCTGAATCTCACCGAATTTGCTCATTTATGTGAGTAAGTAAACATACATAGTAGTTTTGCAGGTATTTCAGCTGCTGTTGCCCCCGTATTTGTTCTTAAAAAGACAGGTAAACACTTTTAAACACCTTGCAAAAGACTTTAATGTTCTGCTGAACCACAGCAGTTTGCTATATTTTGTGAAAGTGAAATAACAAATTCAAATTTTATTTGTTCATTTGTTAAAAAATTTCAGTCACTTTATAGTTACGTACGTTTTAGGTAAACAAATATGGATGAAAATGTGGAATTCAGAAAAAAAACTGAAATAATTTAGGAAAACAAAAACGCAAAAGGTGGAATTTGGGAAAATTTAAAAAATGGATTCCACAGGGCCCTACATTTAGGACAACTTAAGGTTTCTAAAGCACACGTGAGAAGCTAAAAATGGAATTCTTTAGTCAGATTAAAGGCACGCTATCAGAAGCTAGCCCAAAATTAACGTCAAGCATGGAACTAGAGCTGCTAATTCTCAGAAAAATGACTGCTAAATTATTGTGCTAAATTATAAAATAAATCTTTAGTTTTATTTTGTACTCTTACGCTAACAAACAATTTAAAAAAGGAATCAAGACAATACCTCAAAACAGTGCCGCCATTATTCTATTGTACTGATCTAATCCTGTGCCATGAGCCTCATGACTCTGAATTTTAATGAGGAAAAGTGAAACAAAGGCTTTTTTGGGGGGCGAGTCAAATAAGTAGCTCATTGTATCGATGCACAAAGACTTCCTGGCTAACAATCTCTCCCTCTGACAGGATGACATAAGACAACGGAGCTGCTCAGTACAAACTGTTTACACCAGTAAGTTCACCTTTGCTATTTGATTTGTGAGGAACTCACCAGTTGTACATAGTTAACTTTCTTCATCCTAAAATGTTTAAGTGCTTCAGCGGCTTCTGCGTTTATGGGGAAGGCCACTCCCTGCAGAGTCTGCTGCTTCGTGTCCACACTGATGTCCGTCTGCACCTAAACGTAACACAAACATAACAGATACACAACAACACAAGAAAAGTTACTGTGAGGAAGACTTTAAAAAGGGTGATAAATACATGTTTACTACATGAAATTTAATCATGAAGTTTTGTTTAAGGGGACACCAGTTTCCAATGATTTTAGTGTGCTAAATTAAAATATGTCCTGATCTGTGTCACTGGGTGGTAAACTGTTTTTTTCACTGTAACAAGCAGCTTGAAAGCTGAAGCAGGATGATTACAGATGCGGTGCTTGCAGCAGAAGTGACAAAATGCCTCCAGGAAACCACCCAGAGGACTCAACAAGCTGGAAGGATTACGCTGATGGATTGCATCTATTTTTAGAGGACTGTTGCCACAAATTGAAATGCTACGTGAACATGACAGAGCTTCAGATATCGCTAGCTCATATGATGCAGGTTTTCTCTTCTCTTCTCCGTCCGCTTAGTAAAGTCAGCCTCTGAGGCACAGCAAAGGATAAATATGTCCAAACCTCTTTTATTTTCCATCTAGAAAGCACAGATTAATGACATATTATCTTCCCTCAACAGATGGCAGAGACAAGCATAAACCTCACTTCCCATTTGCCATGCTGCTTTTAATTGACTGCACTTTAAAAAAGGGACTCCTCCACTCAAACCAACTCCATATATGGTAAGAAAAAGAGAACTCCAGTTTGTGTGACGAGTTGAGAGAGCAGCAATCAGAAAACACTGTTTCATTTTGGATCATTTGTAGGAAACGGTCCACTAAATGCTAAGACAGAACCTTCAAATGCTTCTGTTTCTCTCTCTGGAGCCGGTGCAGCCTGAAAGCACTTCACGTCAGCAGAATAAATAGCGGTAATAACATCAGTAGCAGGCAGCAGGGATCAGATTACAGCGCAGCACTTCCTTGTCACAACGACAGAGCTCACGTGTCTGTCCTATCACCATGTAACTCTCAGCTGCACAGGATTCACATTTGCATGTGGATTTTCAGATTACAATTTGTTTTGAACCACCACCAAGAGCTTTGTTTTAAAAGCCAGTGTTTAGATCAGGCTAAATGAAATTTACAACCGTGAATGAGACTTTTATGAATATATAGGTCTGAGCAGTACAAACCCAAAAGATTCATCTCTGCCAAACATCCTGCTGTTCTAACAACATCAGCATCTTTGCACTTTTTTACTGCTAAGCAAGCATGTGCACTTGCACCACTGCTGACCTTGTCTTGTTGAAAGGATGCATCGCTGGCCTTCCCTGATACCCCACCCAGATTCTGGTGGGGGTTACATCTCACACAGGAGATGTGATTAAGAGGAGTCGTGCTAAGCTGAGCTAAGCCATTTTTCTGAGTGCGGGGATGATGCAGTGTTGCTCCCTTTCTGAACTAAGGAAGGTAACCTGAGTTCCTAACATATAAATAAGAAGCCTGCGTTAAAACTATTTCCTAAACACGTACTGACGGAGCTAAAATCTGCATCGTTTTTCTATATTTACCTCGTTTAGCTTGATCTGTCTCAGTTCCTCCTCTGCAGCAGTGAGGGGCAAAGGAGCTGCCTGCGAGGTCAGATATTTCCTGTAACCATTCAGATTCAAATCATCCTGGAGACAAAGAACAGTACAATCACAAATCAATTATTAGAACAGATTAAATCTTTAATTTAAAAAATGACTTATCAAAAGAAAAATTATAAAACAAAGCCAGCTTTGAATATCTGACATCTTTGGGGGACAAACATATTTTCACTTGACTCAAGTGTGTAGGTACGTGACAAACCTTTGTGGTACCGAAAATCTCATCCTTGATGTGGCCTCCTCCAAACTCCTTTTTCAGTGTAGCTCTGGTAGCAGCGTATAACATTTTATGTCGCACCTGTTAATAAAAGCAAACTTGCATTAAAATTAAATGAAGACAATCCTTCAATCCTTTACCTGTTCCTTATCGTTGTGGCAGGAATTGGGGGAAAAAAAAGTTATATACAGCATGTTGTGTGTCTCGTTACCTTCCCCACAATAAGTTCATCCAGCCTATTTAAAACTTTACTGTCTTGAAGTGGGGTGTGAGAAGGACTGCAGATTTTAAATAAATGTTTTTCAAATGAACCACACGACTCTTTACATTTCCTTTGTAACAACTAATAATGAAGTTTACTGAAGGTTTAATGACTGACTGGCTGCTATAGACACTGCTACTTTGGCTCATTTAATGCGCTTTATATTCATTAGTGTTCAGCGAGTGTATGCTATCTTAAACACTGACCAACAACAAATGCAGACCATTTAAAGAACCCAAATATACTGCTGCTTTTAGTCTGAATCCAATACTTTTACAAGTTTATAGGTGCATCTTTTAATGGAAAATCTTGACTATCCTCACTTAAAAAACAAAATGCAACATTTATTTTTTAACCACTTGTCAATCATTGAGGACATTGCCAAATTTATGTTAGACAACTACGGAACCTGCATGCATGTTTCAGTCATGCAGCTGCTAAAACACAGCTCTGACTGCAATAAAACAGGGTGCTCCCATGAAGACTCTAATAAAAGCACTACGTAGAGTTATAAAATGCAATACACTCTCCATGTTCCTTTGCTTTTTCCTCTCCATTTATATTAGGATATATCAAAGCAGCTGACTCGACAGGACCAATCATTATGGAAATCTACCGGCCCAGTTCAGTCAAAGTGGCAGCATGCATGCACAGACTAGTTGTGAAATGATTTAGCAACTTCTAGGCAAGCCTCGACCTGAGGTGTAGTGTTTTGAGCTGGGGGACAGGAATGTTGAACGCGGTTAAAAATAAACGCTGATCAAGATAAATAGTTGGTGACAACAAAATCAAATACAAGAAATGATTCTGAATGAAGTAAAAATGTAGTAGCCTTTAAAAAAAACAGAAAAAAAAAGATCTGTGTTAGGGAGAAAGATTTAAGACAGAATAGCAGGTTCTGTAGAAAACACAATGCAGTCGTATTAAGTTTTCAAGACTCTGTCAAGAAGATATAAAAGAACACAAAGACTAGCTGCTCTGATGTGGTAAACCCCACCCATCTGGTACCTAAAGTAGAGCAGAGCACATGCCACGAAGAACAGAAAGCTATTCATTAAAGCCTTTTCAGGTTTTAGTTTTCTTACAGCAGAGTGGTCCGGTGACCAGGCCAGAAGGATCCATTCGTAGCCTTGGTTGTTAGTAGAGTCCAGCCGGTACAAAATATAACAGGGCATGCCATCCTCAAGCAGCGGCAGCACTAAGGAATCATACTCCTGGTCCCACTTCTTTGAAGCCTTCTCGTATCCACCGAGAACCAGCTGCTCTGGAAAGCAGATGTGTGCAAAATCAAACATTGGAACTCCACCGTTGTGTTCGTCATGCAGGGCTTTGCAAATGTTTAGGCAGAGGTGCAAGGTCAACGTATTCTTGGCAGTGGGAGGTGTAAACAAACGCCAGGTCCCCTAGAAAACTGCTTACCATCCTCAATGACAATCTTCAGGGCTCGGTATTTGTCTCCACCTCTGGCACTGGCAAACATTTCCTTCACATCATTCCTCGCTGAAAGGGGGAAGAAAAAAAAAAACAAACAAACGCTGAAAGGGACATTTTGAGTCATTTAGGCGTACTGTACATCTTAACGTTTTGGAGGATCTGTGATCCATCAGGTATCAGAGAAAACTAAATTTAAGTCGAAATACAAAATACAAAAACTATTCTGCTAGAAAACAGTGTTGGCTACATGTACTAAGTCTGCATAGTGGTTAAAAAAAAGGGCAGCTACATCTGCAGTGCAGGCTGCATCAACACCAGAGGAAAACATTTTGATATCCTGTTGAAAGTTTTTCAAAAGCAGGAGCACAAGCTCAACAAATAATCCTCAAGTGACCCTTTTTTTTTAGATTAATTCTGCAACAAGACATGAAAGGACAGCAGCAGTTATTTCCTATAAATAGGTAAGTTAATGTTTACTTAAGAGGTTTTTTTATGTGCTTTCTCCCATGCTATTGTGAAGTTAATCACCAACAACGAAGAAAAACAGGTTTACTTAATTATTTTCTTAGAATTATTTTTTATAACCAAACAGGTTACTGTCGATACTATTTAGAGATCAATGGATGGAAGCAGAAAAATGAAGGCATCGCCCATCCATTCAAAGCCTTAAACCAAACCAACATGTTTCTAATGTGATGTTAATATGAAGAATGAATGCCTTTTAAAGGTGGAGTAAACAAGCATGCTAAGAATATGCACGGCGCTTTAAATGCCGTATGGACTGGCAAGAAAAAGCACTTGAATGAGTGATGGTAGTGCTCAAATACAGCTTTGCTGCTCGCACAAATCACAGTAGCTTCGTGCTAACTAGCTAGGAAAGCATTGCTAACTTGACGGTTAGCTTCTGAGAGCCGGCGATTAATGCTAATTCCGGAAATGAACATTAGCGCTGAAAAGTAGATAAAAACACGAGTAGTTAAAAAAGTAAAAACTCGTTTACCTTGAATGCCCGTTTGATGTGACATTGTGTCTTTTGTCGGAGAGACAGGACTGAAGCAGCTGATCAGTCGACAGTCGGGGAAGAGAAGCAGGAAGTGAATTACACTGACCCGCCCCGAGTCCGTGTGCATCACCATAAGACGTCACGTGACCCCCCACATCAGTTTAACAACTTCGTTAGTGTTTTTTTACACGGTATTTTACGCGTTTTAAAACCTTTTTAAGGTTTTATTTTATTTTATTTTATTTTTTTGGTTGGGGGATTTAATCCAATGAGGTATATAGACTAGAGAGGCTACCCCCGTCAAGAGGCTGGGGCCAAGATATGCCAAGCACGACGCCATCTTGAAACAGTCTGCTTAAAGGGATGAGGCTATTTAAATTATGTAAACAATGCTGAGTACTTACCAGATTAACAGGTTTTTCTCTTTAGAGTAGCCCCAATTTACATGTACTCTATAACACATTTACACACACAGATAGTTGAAAGAAAAAGATTATTTTACCATATTATTTTAACTGAACAAATGTTATTTTTCTTAACAACATAGTCAAAACAAGGAAAAGAAAGTATACTAAAATTATGTGTCAAAATACAATACAAAAACCAAGGCTTAAAGCATCGTTTTTTAAAACATCGTTTAGAAATGCACAATAAACTAAAAAAATAAAATTAAAAATAAAAAACAAAATTGTGTTCAATGATAAGATTGACAATCATTTGCAAAATAAATGCAAGTCCATAGTTATTCTGTACTTTACTGTATTTTTTGTGTTTTTTCTGTATTGCTTAATTATTGGCCTTTGAAGAGAATGAGATCAGTCAGCTTCTGACATTTTAAGCTGTGAGGTGTGTAATCTGGCAACATGTTTCTGCCTGATGGTGTAGTAACTGTTCACAGGATTGGATGAGGTCAAAGTAATGGTTGTCCATATTGAGACTCCACTTTATGTTTTCTGAGGCACACTGGAATAAATTTAGATAAAAATATTACTTCATGTCTTCATGTGAAAAATAAATATATTTACTGTTACAGAGCTTTAGTAAGCAATCCACAAAGCAAATGTCAGGGTATTTTTCTTTTTTTCTTTTGCTTAATAGATTTTGATAAATAACATCTGTTGTGTAAATATTATATTCTTACTGTTACAAAACTTTAGTAATGAATCAAGAGTACAAATCAACACTTCTGTCTTTATTTTAATGGCACACCTTGACTCAACAGAAACACACAAACACAAACAAAAAGTTTAATTTCACCCTCCAGCAGTGGGAGATTTCATGTAGTTCACAATTGGTTTTGATCCATTTCTTGTCAGTACTAATTCTGAACATCAACACAATGCTAAGCATAGCCTTCTTATTTAAAAGAAAAAAATTACAGATGAAATGTTATGAGGTTCAAACATTTTCCACTATGATTGCTGCACAGTGACACGGCATTGCGGGTCTGTGTTCAATGGTTGGATGACTGTTTCAAGATGGAGTCGCGTTCAGCATACCCAAAGTCCGGTGATAGCCCGTTTTAGTAGAAATGCTATTTAATCCCAGTGATAGCAACAAATCCTGAAATCCGTCCACATCTGGCAGCTACGGTGGATTACTGCCCCAGTTTACTGTGTCTCTCTTTACAAGTGCATTTTCTGACATGAAAATAATCCCAGCACCAGAAAAGGGGAGTGGAGAAGTGTTGTGTAGTGTCATCAAGGAAAACTGTTCTTCAAAAACTGTGTGTATATAATTTTTTTAAATAAAGAACACTGATTCTAAATCCAGCGCTTAATAATTTACAGACACTGTTTTGACTATGACTCTTCAACTGATGGCCCAGGGGCCACATCCGGCCCATGGGTAAGCTCAATCTGGCCCACTGATTTAAAATAAAACTGGATTTTATGAAGTAGCAGTATTAAAAATAAGTATGATCAATGTCATTTAAAAAAAATTTTTTTTTTTGCAGTTTTTGGATTATTTTTGTCTCATTCCCCTGTGACAAAGTCTTACAAATTCTACCAATCTTTTTTAGTTTTTGAGAGACAAAAAAATGCATTAGGCTATATCATTTAGTTAAACAAATTATTTTTTATAGTTTTGCAAAGAATAAAATATTTGCTTTTATAAATATGTTGTGAAAAGTGAATAAAAAATTACATGTGTTGAGCTGTTTAAAAATTACTTCTAAAATACCAATTTCGTCACGCTTCTGAAATACAATATTTAAAGCACTTTTAATTTGAAAGGTCCGAGCGGAAATAGCACAGCAGCAGTAACTCTTGTAACTTGACGCTAGTGAGTAAACGTGTCTGTCAATATTATTGCACCGAAGTGATGCTGAACGCGCTGTGTGGACCCGACCTTGTCCACCCAGTTTGCAGCGGCTCCACCGTCCTCCTTCTGACCGCACAGTGACGGCTTTCCTCGGCGGGGATACCCTGTGGAGTCACGGTGAGTCTGAGAACCCACCCCCGCCTGCCCGGTCCGCTGGTGGAGGTGGAGGACGATGTACGGCGGTGCGGGGCACGAAGACGGAGGGATGAGGAGAGACTCGGCGGTAGACGAACAACAGGTCGCAGGGATAATCCCTTCTGTTTCGGATGACCAGAGAACCGCTGTCGGCTTGATGTGGCAGCAGAGCTACTCCGGAGCTGGGCACCTCGTCCTGGCTGTCGACTAGAGCAAACCGGCGTGGAGCAGGTGAGTTCGTGATGACTGGGTCTTCCTCTCAATTTAGTGACATTTAGGGTTTTATAATCAGTAAAATCTGATCAAGCCTGTAGTGTCAAGCCCTAACGTGGTACCTGGGTGCTTGAAGGGTTGTTCCCTAAGAAATGACAGAAAACGGCATTTAAATGCACTAAAATGATAAGGATGACTTCACTCATATTTCTAAATGTCATGCTACTAATTTAGTAATTGCATTTCATATAAAGGTATATGAAAGCTCAGCTCTCTGTGGCATACATATGTGCTATTCCTGGGTACCATTTCCTGCACGTTTAGCACCAAAAAACCCCAAGCACATCCTCAAAAGACAGCTCCTTCCTTCTAATGCTAAATTCTAGGATTTCAAATGGTGACAAAAATAAATAAATAAATAAATGGATTCCCTGCCTTATTGTGACTGTGGAATCATCAAGTTTGTATCACCCAAGGTGACATTTGATGGCAAGCTGAAAACAGTGCTGGTGAAATTTAATATACCACATGAGTGTTCTACAACTCTATTTCAAGGGCTGTTACCTCATTCCATATTTCCACAGTGGGGGGTATTTTGGGAAAATATGTCAAAGCGGGGGATTTATTTAGGAAGTTCAGGCTAACAAAAAATGACTGTAGCAATGTTCAGAGTGGAGCATGAATAGTAGTTAAATTAATCATTAAAATATAAATAGTCAGGACAGCTCAGTGCTTGGCTGGTGCTGTCTAATGAAGCCTGAGGGTGAAGCAGCAACTACTCTATTTTACTGGCGCACTGAGCTGACAGACTGGTAGGGTAAGGCCTTTAAAAGTCTGGGATTTATAGCTTACAGTGCTCTAGCTTTTCAGACTCCACTGTATCCAGGTGTGATATATCTCAGTAACTCACATTTAAACTTGTCTTTATATAGCATATTTTTGTTCAATTTGAACTGTTAATTAAAGTCTTTTTTTTTACAACCTATATTCCCAAAAATGTTGGTATTCTTGCTGGTGACTGAAATGTTATATCAGTATTTTTAACTTTTATGATGTTTCGAATGGAGGACGGTTGGAAACTGGCGTATATCGTAAGCCCACCCACACAGACCAATATTTGCGTTTTGACTCCCACCACCCACTGGAACACAAGTTAGGAGTGATCAGGACTCTGTACCACAGAGCAGACAGTGTCCCTACAAACCCAGGAGCCAGGCAGAAAGAGAAATCACACACACGACAGGCCCTGGAGCTGTGTGGTTATCCTGACTGGGCTTTCCTGAAAGCAGACAGGAAACACAGACAGGATTCCATGCAACCTTAAGGTGAAAATGAAGACCCCAAACCCAGACCCAAACCAGTGGTTATTCCGTATGTTGCGGGTGTTTCGGAGACACTGAGACGTTTATTTTCTAAACATGATGTCCCAGTAGCTTTCAAACCCCAAAACACATYACGGCAAAGGCTGGTTCACCCCAAAGATCCGGTGCCCCGGCACAAACAGAGCAATGTTGTATATGCTGTTAAGTGCCAGGAGGACTGGGACCAGTTATACATCCGGGAAACAAAGCAGCCACTGTTCAAAAGAATGTCCCAACACAGACGAGCTACGTCTAATGGCCAGAACTCTGCAGTTTTCACTCATTTACAGGCCAGCGGTCACTCTTTCAGAGATGAGGATGTTCTCATTCTTGATAGAGAGGAACGTTGGTTTGAGAGAGGAGTAAAAGAAGCCATTTTTGTGAAGAAAGACCGTCCATCATTAAACAGAGGTGGAGGCCTCCGTTTTCAGTTGTCCCCCTCCTACAGCACGGCCATTGCCAGTATCACTCCACCCCCTGTTAACAATAGGTGTTAATTAGGTGTCAACGATAGTCATGTGATGTGAGTATCAGTCACATGGAGGCAGTGCTTAAAAGCCTGAATTTTGCCTGAAACTCTCAGATTGAAGAAGTCTCTTGGAGAAGAGACGAAACGTTTCATTAGAGAAGAACCCGTCCAGAAGACCTACACAATTTTTTTCTTTTTGACTTTTTAACTGGATTACTGAGATGCATCAGGACAACTTTTATGATGGTTTTTGACTGTGTGTGTTTGGGAGTACCTCTGGCAAACACTTTTGCAAAAGGGATGTTTTCATGCTTTGGATGTGGATGGTGTCTATTTTAGTCTTAAACAGTCTTGGTATTATAAGACGTGGTTGTGGCTCAGGTGGTGGAGGAAATTGCTTGTGTTTCTGCCCGTTTACAGAATACCATCTTTGGATTAATGTTTTAACTTTTAAGGCTAAAGCACAACCACACAACAGAAACTGTCCCCTTTTTAGACACAAGTTCTTCTTGGGCATCAAGCTCAGCTGTTACATCTGCCACAACTTGTCTTTCCAGTCTTTCTGAGTTTATCCACGCTCAACTCCTCCAACAACGACACATTCGGCTGTGTGCAAACTCAGGAGCTGCGTCCTCCAAAGGCCGGGTTTGTCGGCCACACATCTCAACGCCACGCCGGAGGGCTGTCCAAATTAAAAAGACTCCTCCAATACGGCCGACAAATGCGTCCCCCCTGGCAGTGCAGCAAAGAAAAATGTAACCTCTTTGAAACAGTTTATAAGGGGCACACGGCATTCGAAATGTTGTTCAAGCTATCAAACTGTATGCAGAAAACTCATATCGTAACAAAAATAAAAAGCATTTTTTGGAATGAACTGGTATATCGCCCATCTCTAGAATGTTGTGTATAGTAAAGAACGACCAACTTTTTTGGGAATTGGAGTTGTGTATTTTACACCAAACTAGGAAGAAAAAAAAAACATTTTGATGATAGCTGGTACGCTCCCAAAGCTGGGGTCAGAACCCACAGTGGGGTCCTGAAACTTCAAAGTAGGATATTGAAAATAATTTCAAAATAAACTACATTTAAAATGATGACTAACATTTTTTTTTGCCTTTTGTTGTTACAAAGTGTGGGTTTATTGTACTTAAAATGTACAAAAGTAGCAATGATTTTTGTGGGCTGATCAAAAGCTGAAAAGTTTGACCTAAAGCAGTTTGATGCCATTGGAGAAAAAAATAAAACCAGATAATTATCTTGTTTAAACCGAACTACTTTTATGTCCAAAGAACACAGTTAATAAAACCTGTTCAGAACTGAGGCTGTCTTCTGCTGGACCACTTTCGTGCAGGTGTATCTAGATGATGCTGTAAACAAAGCTGTTTTTACCTTCCCTCTAAGATTTATGACTTCGCGGTGTTGCTCAGTTGCATTGTTTGAGCTAAGAATAATCTCAGTACTTCGGTGAAATTCAGTCATCTAAGCTGAACCTGAGGGATGTTTTCACTTTAATCCAGCCTGCTGATCTGAGTGTAATTTAATCAGACTGAAGGAAGCACTTCCTCTCTGTCTTTTCCTGCTGCTGTAGGATGGATATAGGTGCCTGTTTTCGCTACTACTTCCAGCACCCGTGGTCGCGTCTCATCGTGGCCTACCTCGTCACCTTCTTCAACTTCCTCATCTTTGCCGAAGACCCGGTGTCCCACAGTCAGACAGAGGCCCATATTATTGTGGTGGGCAACTGCTTCTCCTTCCTGTTCAACAAGTACCCAGGCCTCGGGTGGAACGTCCTGAAAGTGATGTGCTGGACGCTCGCCATCATCACTGGCCTGTTAGCTGGGAAGTTTATATTCCACCGCCAGCTCTTTGGTAAGTCATGTGCACTGGAATGTGCAGAGTAATGGCCTCACTCTGGGATAGAAATCTCTTCTACCTCCCTTGTTGTGGTAATTAATCAATGAGAAGCAGCTTGTGTGGTCTTCTTTCATTTAGTCAGAGTTGTAAAGTAACTAAGTACAAATACTTTGTTACTGTACTTCTACTTCTTACATTTTTACACAATTATCTGTACTTTCTACTTACAGAGTACATTTTTTTAAAAAGGTAAGAAGTAGAAAGTCTTTACTCCTGTTTCATTACAGCTTGTTGTTGTTAAAATATCCTCCTGGATAGAGTGAATTTAATTGTGGTTGGATGAGAAGTATAAATTTAAACCGTTTTGATACTGTAGTTTGTACACAATCCATCAGCTGCAAATGACACAAATCATGTCACACTTCAGCAGGACGTAGCAGATACTGTATGTAGCCTAGTACGATGATGATGTCTGTGGCATATACAAAGACATATATATGCGCTCAAACAGCTAGACTATTTCATCTTAAATTTTTTAACATTATCATTTTTGTATGACATAGTCATTTTGGCCTTTAAAAATGTTTTTGAGGGTGTCACCTCCCAATAAATGTCATTTTGGCAAGTCTAGACATTCATTTTTACTTAATACTTTTAATACTTAAGGACATTTTATGTCAGAAATTTACTTTTGATACTTAAGTACAAAATATATTAGATACTTTGACTTTTACTTAAGTAATATTCTTATAGGAGACTTGAACTTTTACCAAAGTAATTTTATGGTAAGATACTTGTACTTTTACTCAAGTATCACTTTGAGGTACTTTATACAACACTGCATTTAGTTTTCAGAACTGGGATGTACTTAAAGATTTTTTTTGTCCAAATTCAGTCTTTGCACCTTCACTTATGTGATTAAGTTGTTTTCAGTTTTTCTCCACACCTGTCTTGCAAGCTACATATGTAAGTTTTTCTAATTTATGTTTTTTACTTTATTATCTAAAAAACGTTGAGTAGGTCCTTTGAACAGGTTCTTCTTTGTTGAAAAAAACGTTACTACCTATATTATTGAGATGCATCAAGGTATTTACATTATAATAATTTCTATATCTAGAGCTGCATCCAACACAAGACAATGATTCAATATTTTTTCCACAGAGATGTAACTGAGATAAATTAGCTTATCCATCTCACCTTGGTGTACCAATATGTCCCTTTTTTTTGGCAAATGCTCATGTCTAACTAAAAAAATATATTTTTTAGGTGTGTATTTACATATTTCAGTGGCAAGTTCTTTAGATTATTCTTTTTATGTACAGTGCCCTGAGACAACGTATGTTGTGACTTGGCGCTATATAAGTAAACTTGAACTTGAGTATTTTGAATGTCCCTCGCCCGGACATGGGTTACTGTGGCCCCACCCTGGAACCTTGGGGAAGTTGCATGTTGGCAAGTGCCTGGCTACTAGGTCTGAGCTCTGAGCTGGTGTGGGTCTTCTTTTACCCCACCCAACTCGGTGCCTTGGTGAGTTTTCCCCATTGATGAGAGGGTAGCCTCCCTGCACCTTTGGGTGGGGAGACGGGCTTCAGGTTTGGGCGGTATTGAAAAAACTCATCTGTACTGATGTTGCTTTCTCTCAGAGCAGCAGGAGAGGAGTCACAGATTGACTTTGCCCCTTGTTATGTCCAGCAGATCCAAATAAGTCCAACTACGTCTTTTTAGGGTTCTAGGTTTCAAAATAATCTGATTCTTACCACGGCCGTATTCATGCTGCTGCATGGTTTAAGTGAGGGATGTCTTTATGACAATAAAGTTTGTAGAGATTTTCTCATGTGCAGCAAGGAGCTCATGGGTCTCAAAAATAAATAAATAAATAAAAAAATCACAGAAAGTTTAAATCCGAAAAGAGTTCTGCTATTTGTCAGACTTAAGAAACCCACAGCTGGGTGGTCTCTGAAGCTGTCAGTGAGCACTAGGCTCATCTTTTGAGAGTAATGTGTCTGCCACTAACCTTTATTTATTTTTTTATTTGCCTCACTCAGAGCTTAAGATGTGTTACAGACAGGGGTGTCTCTGCTCCCCCCTCCTCCTCCATTTGTCATCCAAATGAGCAGAGGTGGTCAGAACACACGTCTGTAATGTTATAGGGCGTCTTCTGAAAGAGCCTTGAATGTTTATGTCCCAGTTTTCATAGCAGACTTGTGGAAATTTGGTGCTTCACCTCATGTGACCCACACCGTCATCATTTATATACAGTCTCTATATTTTTATACCGCGGTATAACATAAAATCTTCATACCCCCCCCAAGCCTAACGGGCTCTGTCGGTTGTTTGTTCCTAGGCTCCAAACAGAGGATCAGAGGACCCGGCCATCTTGGAGTTCTTATTGGGGGTGCAGGAATGTCCAACATATAATTTGTGGCAGAGAAAAAGAACACATTTTAATGTTGGATTGAAAAATCATTTATTTGATTTAGTCGTAATTAAACAGATGGCAAATTACAGATTGGTTAGTAGCAGACTGTTAGGCAAGACTAATACACTTTTTATGTTTATGACAGGTTAAAATTCTCGCAGCACTAACTCCATCACCTTTTTTACATTTTGCAGTTTTGTTTGTGTTCAGTACTGCCCTTGCTCTCCTGCGCATTGCCCACCTTCATGATGCAATTCCTCTTCATTGTCACACACTTGTCAAATTTCCCATTCAGCCTCACACTTTTTATAGCTTGACTCTCCTCTGAAAAAGGCCCCGACTCCAATCTCATAGGCACTTGTGCTCGTTTAAACTTCATTACAGTTTGTAATTCTGCTCCTGAACCCTTCCACATGGTTTTTGTATTCACATAGGCCCTGCTGTGCCCTGGTTTAGCTTTCCTGGAAGAACAAATAATGACTGTAATTGGAGGATGGGAGAGTGTTAGTGGTAAGGAAGGGGACTATTATTTCTGAGCATAAATAGGAAGTTAAGAGTTGTGATGACATGATTCTTTCAGGGACATCAGGAACTTCAGTAAAAAAACAGAAAAATAAAACATGCCTCTCACACAGGTTTTATGTTTTGTTGATCATACCAGCTGTTTCTTTGCATGTTTTTTTTTTACCACTAGTCACAAACAGAACCATGTGTATCAGTTAAATAACGTTTTCTCTTTTGCATGACTCAAAATACGCACTTGGACTCGGTGACAGAGTCTGTTCATTTCTGTTTGTTTGAGGGTAAACATGCAGTTCTCCCTGCAGCCAGGTACAGCTAATGTACATCCACAAGCCTCCAAACAGATGGTTGGTGCTTTTCTGTGTGGGTGTGTGTCTTTGTAAATGTGAAAGCAGAAATGTTTTTGTGAGTTCATGTGTTCATGTCAAGCTTTTTTTTTAACAGGAAAAGATTATTAAAAATCAAGCCTGACTCAGCATAATTGCTGTTTTATAGCAGGTTCCTGTTCTGCAGCACATAAAACACTCAGAATTACAGCATCACAATCACATCATTATACACCATAGACACAAAGACAAACAAGCATACCAAATTTCAAAAAGGCAGCATTTGCAAAATAGGACGTCTAAATATGAGCACAACAAAAAATGTCCAGCAGATGGCAGACAAGATTCTTCTTAAAGGGCTGTGGTTTTGAAATGGACTTTATATTTTGAGGAATGTCATTCCATGCTTTAGTATAAACATAGAAGAAAGACTTCTGGCTGTAACAGTTTTTAAAAGTTGGTAATATCAGTTGTCCTTTTGTAACAGATCTAGTTGAATGACCACTTCCAGAATTTGATTTGGGCAGCAATGCACAGAGAGTTCCATAATTGGCACCTTGGAAGATCTGAAAATATAAATTAATAMCACTATACAAAACATAATTCTGAAAAGTCAAGGCATCAGACAATGAAAGAACTGTGATGAGACCAGTCCAACCAGGAAGGTTTTTTATGAATTTTGTAGGCCCTGTTGTAGAGCCTAACTATGGGTTCTAAGATTTCATTTGTTGTAAGAGACCAAACAGGTAAACAGTACAACATGGTTGAGAGTATAATGACATGAAGATAGGTATTTGAAACAAAAGATGTCAGATTGGATCTAATTTTTGAATAAACGTATAATTTCTGTTTCGTCAGATTGGATCTAATTTTTGAATAAACGTATAATTTCTGTTTCCACTTAGTGGTTAAGACTTGTACACGATCACGATAAGTCAAATGAGAATCCAAAGTAATTCCAAGATATTTGTAGGTAGTGACAATATCAAGGGGTTTGTTTAAAAAAGTGAGTTGATTTGTTATATTGAAATGTCTCCTGGGTGAGGAAAAATACATGCACACAGTTTGACAAAAGATTATCTTGAAGCCAACTATGAAATGTCTGAAGATCTGCTTGTAACTGAATATTAATAGATTCAATATTGAAATCAGACAAAAAAAGAACAGTATCATCAGCATACATTAAAATATTTGAATACTTCAATATTTTTGGAAGGTCATTTATGTACGTATAATAGGAAAAGCAATGGGCTCAGTATGCTACCCTGCGGAACTCCCACGGAACAGGGCAGAGACCCGGACAGAGCTTCCATGTTTCACAACCTGACACCTATCAGTCAAATAAGAGGAAAACATTTGTATGGCAGATGATGAAAGTTGGAAAGAAATCAACTTTTTAAAGAGAGTATAATGATCAACTGTGTCAAACGCTTTACGAAAATCAGTATATACAGCACCAGTTACTTGACCTTTGTTCAAAGTAGCACATATTTGTTCAGTGAATAAAATTAATGCAGACAGGGTTGACCTTGACGTGCAGAAACCATGTTGGCTATTGCTTAGCATATTATTAGCTTCTAGATGCTGAAGTACAGTAGTTGATTAAATAATGTTTTTTCAAGTAACTTAGAAAAAATAGGAAGAACAGAAATTGGCCGATAGTTTGAAACTTCTGTTGGATCACCAGATTTAAAAATGGGAGCATTCTGAGCAAACTTTTAAAGACTATGGTCTTAAACTTTTGATCA